TGAAACTTTTGCCCCGGCGTAACCCACACTATTTCTTTGTTTGGCGCACAGATTGTTCTAAAAAAACAGGTTCCAAAGGTTGGTTCTCGCCTATACGTATCATAATAGTCCTCCTCCCCACCAAATACTGGTAGTCGATACGCCCTCCTAATGGCGTCTATTGATGCATCAACACTCTTTTGTCGCACAGTGCAAATATGGCCCTCATATTCAGAACAGTTCGCGTAGAACTCTCGTACAACCATGAAGTTGGCCTCCTCAGGTTCTTCAAAGAAAATATCCAGCATGCGTCGAACCAACTCCTGATACATATTGGGGCAAATAATCTGGAGGGACCCCCTATCAATACCCCGTTCCGGTATGGGCTTCTTAGGAGCCTTCTAACTAAAACGTTCCTGGACTGAGCTTGAATAAATCTTGTGCTATCAAAGTGAGGCGCATTGGTTGAGGCCCGTGCCCGGGACGAGCCTGCATGACCACTAGAAGAGGCGCATGTGGTTCGTCTTTTCTTTGAGGGTGTCATAGTACCTACAAAACAAATACCACTATCCGTACAAGGCGGGATGTGTGAACCAATAGCGATTACTCAGACTTTACCCGCACAATTAGTCACAAATTACATTCACGAACTCACTGTGGCATTTAAACAAACACTTGATGTGCAAATTCACCCCAAATTCCCCAAACACCCAATTATACCTCAATTCCACCACAATCTTAACAATGTTTAATCCAACCCAACAAGATGAAATTCCACTATCATCACATACCAACAAGTATACTTAGTAATACAAAGCAAGGAAAAGAACAACAATGACTTCTACTACCATACAATTAAAAGAGAGGAAGAAAAGAAAAAAGTTGGAAAAACTAAAAAAATAAAAACTGAAGGAAAAGGAAAATAGAAGCCATGGCACTTACCTGAAGAAGCTTGTGAGGAATAGAGATTGGGCAATGATTGAGTAGGGAAGAGTAGGAAAGAGAGGGAGGTTTTTGCTTTTGAAATTAGGGAGAAGGGAGGGTTTTGGGCGTGTGTTTGTTGTGAGAGAGGAGGGTTTGTTTTGGTTTTATTCAGATTTTAGGGGAGGAATAAAGGGGGGGTCGGTTATTAGTAAGGGAGAAAAAAAATAAAATTAACTAATGAAATAACCTAAAAACGACACTCAGTGCACGGTCCATGCGCAGTTAGTGCCCGGCCGCGGACATGGGGCAGTGGAAGTCAAAAAATATGCGGTCCATGCACGGTCAGTGCGCGGCCGCGTATGTGCAATAGTAGGGGTCCAAAAGTGTGCGGCTTGTGCGCGGCCGCGCACATTTGTCCTTCAAAATTTCTCCCTTTTAGCCACTTTTTACCTATCTCCGGATGGATTTCTTCACCCCGAGTCCTTCCGTCACGCACAATTTCATCCCTTCATACTAATAGACCTGTCAATACTTTCACCATTCAAAATCAAATACAAAAAATAAGAACAAAGAAAAAATATTGGGTTGCCTCCCAAGAAGCGCCTGATTTAACGTCACGGCACGACGAATTACAACAAAACCATGGGTTGCCTCCAGGAAGGGCCTGATTTAACGTACGTCGTGGCACGACGTAGGCTTTCATGATTGCACTTAGCTCACATATTGGGGCTCTTCCAAAGACATCACAACTTTCTCCCTTTTTTCTTCAACCATTCCAAGGTAGTGTTTCAACCTTTGCCCATTCACTTTAAACCTATTCGTTCCATCTTCGGACTCAATTTCTACTGCTCTACTTGAGAATACTTGCACGACTCTAAATGGTCCTGACCATCTAGATTTCAGCTTACCCGGAAACAATCTTAATCTCGAGTTGTATAACAACACTAGATCTCCGGGTTTGAAGTTCCGATTTAGAATGTACTTATCATGCATCATCTTCATCCTTTCTTTGTACAATCTTGCATTCTCAAATGCATGGAACCGTAATTCCTTGAGTTCATATAGCTCTGTGACTCTACTTGTGCCTACGGTTTCCATATCCAAGTTCAACTGCCACAGTGCCCATAAGTTTTTATGCTCAAGCTCCACCGGAAGATGGCATGCTTTTCCAAACACCAACTTGTATGGAGACATACCAATTGGAGTTTTAAATGTTGTGCGGTACGCCCATAATACATCATCCAACTTCTTTACCCAATCAATCCTTGTCGCATTCACTGTTTTGGTCAGGATACTTTTGATTTCCCTGTTGGACACTTCCACTTGCCCACTCGTTTGTGGGTGGTAAGGTGTGGCAACCTTATGGTGAACTCCATACTTTTCTAATAGCCTTGCGAACGCTCTATTGCAAAAATGGATTCCACCATCACTGATTATAGCTCTCAGAGTGCCAAAACGTGTGAAAATATTTTTCTTTAGAAAGCATGTCACTCATTTGGCATCATTTGTTGGAAGGGCCACATCTTCAACCCATTTGGAGACATAGTCAACTGCTACCAATATTTACTTGTTACCATACGAGCTGACAAATGGTCCCATAAAATCAATCCCCCATATGTCAAATACTTCCACCTCTTGAATTATAGTCATCGGCATCTCGTGACGGCGAGATATGTTGCCTGTCCTTTGGCACTCATCACAACTTTTCACCCAAGCATGGGCATCCTTGAAAAAAGTCGGCCAATAAAAACCCGACTCCAACACCTCCGCCGCTGTCCGAATTCCTCCAAAGTGCCCACCATATGGTGAAGCATGGCAAGCCTGCAAAATAGAAGATTGATCTTTCTCGGGGATACACCTCCGGATCATGTTATCTACACATATTTTAAAAAGTAAAGGTTCATCCTAGTAATAAGACCAACAATCGCAAAAGAAATTTTTGTTTTGAATCGAAGAAAGTTCATAAGGTACAATACCGCTTGCCAAATAATTAGCAATATCAGCATACCATGGCGTCTCCTCCATTGCCACTGCTAGTAATTGTTCATCCGGGAATATCTCAGTTATATCTTCAACCTCTACTTTCTTTTCAACTCCCTCCAACCTTGAAAGGTGCTCTGCCACTTGGTTATCTGTCCCTTTCCTATCGCGGATCTCCAAATCGAATTCTTGTAGCAACAGAACCCAACGGATCAAGCGTGGCTTTGATTCCTTATTTGCTATCAAGTACCTAAGTGATGCTGGTCAGTATAAACAATCACTTTTGAACTAATCAAATAAGACCTGAATTTGTCAAATGCAAACACCACAACCAACATCTCTTTCTCAGTCACGGTATAATTGAGTTGTGCACCGCTTAGCGTTCTGCTTGCATAGTAAATTGGGTGCACCAGCTTGTCCTTTCACTGCCCTAGTACTGCTCCTATAGCATAGTCACTCGCGTCACACATGATCTCGAACAACTACTCCCAGTTAGGTGCAACGATGATTGGTGCAGTCACCAGTCTCTTCTTCAGCTCCTCAAATGCCAACATGCAATCATCAGAGAACCTAAAGGGATGATCCTTTCCAAGGAGTTTACATAAGGGGTTAGCAATTTTAGAGAAATCTTTTATAAATCGCCTGTAGAACCCGGCATGCCCAAGGAAACTTCTCACTGCCTTGACCGAAGTGGGCAGTGGAAACTTCTCAATCACATCAAACTTAGCATGGTCGACCTCAATACCTTTATTGGACACTCGATGCCCCAACATTATACCTTCTTGTACCATAAAATGGCACTTCTCCCAGTTCAGCACTAAATTTGTCTCCACACACCTTTTTAGCACTCTCCTTAAATTGTGAAGACAGTCTTCGAATGAACCCCCCACCACTGAGAAATCATCCATAAAGACTTCCATAATATCTTCAACCATATCAGTGAAAATGGCTAACATACACCTCTGAAATGTAGTCGATGCACTGCATAGGCCATACGGCATTCTCCGAAAGGCAAAGATGCCATACAGATAAGTAAAGGATGTTTTCTCTCTATCTTCAACGGCTATTGAGATCTGATTGTACCCCAAATATCCATCCAAAAAGTAGAAGTGAGACCACCCAGCCAACCTATCCAACATTTGGTCAATGAATGGCAAGGGGAAATGGTCTTTCCGAGTGGTTGTGTTCAGTTTTCTATAATCCATGCAAATTCGCCAACCCGTGACTGTACGAGTCGAGATCAACTCGTTATTCTCATTTTTCACGACCGTCATTCCACCCTTCTTTGGCACACACTAAACTGGACTGACCCAGTTACTGTCAGAGATGGGGAAGATGATACCCGCATCTTACCACTTGATCACTTCTTTCTTCACCACTTCTTTCATGTTCGGGTTCAGCCTTCTTTGATGTTCTCTGGAAGGTTTGTGCCCCTCTTCCAAGAGAATCTTGTACATACAAAAGGTCGGGCTGATACCCTTTATATCTACCATAGTCCAACCAATAGCATTCTTACATTCATGTAACACCTGTAGGAGTTATTCTACCTGCACAGCTAACAAACCAGATAAGATAATAACAGGTAAAGTAGAGTTAGGCCCTAAGAAAGCATACCTGAGGTAAGCTGGAAGCGGTTTCAGGTCCAACTGTGGTGGCTCCTCTATTGATGGCTCTGCATGTGGTGTTGCCCTTTCTTCTAAGTGTAGTGGCTCGAACTGGGGTTCCCTTTTCCAGAACCATTGTCCTTCGAGAGCCATAACCCACTCTGCCAATTCTCCACCATCCATATCTTCCAAATTCATCAAGCAAGCTTCTAACGGATCTCTGACATTAAGGGTCTCATCCTCCTCTTGTAGTATTACATCCACCTCCTCCATTAGTGAACAATATGCAAATTCGATGGGCCTCTTCATAGATTGTTGAATATTGAATATTATTTCCTCATTATTCAACCTTATTTTTAACTCTCCAGTCTCACAGTCGATTAATGCTCTCCCAGTGGCTAAGAACGGCCTCCCAAAAATTATTGGTATTTGTTCGTCAACTTGACAGTCAAGAATAACGAAGTCGACAGGAAATACAAACTTCCCCACTTGGACGAGCACATCATCCAAAATTCATGTCGGCCTTTTGACTGTGCGATCAGCCAGTTGCAACAACATTGAGGTCGGTCTAGCTCTGCCAGTGCCTAATTTTGTGTAGATTGCCAAAGGCATCAAGTTGATATTGGCTCCTAAGTCACACAATGCTTTAGCAAAAGCATAACTTCTAATTATGCATGGGATAGTGAAACTACCGGGATCAGAAAATTTTTGAGCCATAGGTCTTGTCACTACCGCACTGTAAGTTTGAGTTAGAGTTACAGTAGACAGGTCCTGGAAGTCAAACTTTCAAGACATTAGATCCTTCATCATTTTTGCATAGCCTGGCATTTCCCTCAAAGCATCCATCAGCGGTATATTCAATTGAATTTGTCTAAGCATTTCCATGAATTTTCTGTATTGATCATCTTTCTTTTGCTTTACCAACCTTTGAGGGAATGGTGCAGGAGTTAGCTTCTGCCCACTGCTTGGTGCCTTTTCTTCATTAGGAGCCTTTTCCACCACCTGATCTGGGAGTTGTTCAAATTCCTTCTCATTGCCTTTGTCTACTTGTGCCTGTTCAATTACAACTTCTGTGAGCTCCGTTGACTCGTCGGTCTCTAATGTCACTGGAGTAATTGGCACTGCGTCTCTCCTAGATTGAGCAACTTCTTGCTCTCTGTCTAAATCCCTTCCATTCCTGAGACTCACTGTCATTAGCTGATTTGGGTTCTGCTCTTTTGGATTGATGTTTATGTCTGCAGGCAACGTTCCTTGTGTGCGATTGTTCAAGGCCATAGATAACTGGCCTAATTGAGTTTCAATGCCTTTAATAGCCGAATCATGTATGGCTAACTTTTCTTGCATCTTTCCATTTGTCCCAATGAGTTGTTGCAGCATGCCCTTGATTTCTATCATATTATTGTCCTGCTATTGATGAGGCGGTTGGTAAGCCAACTGTTGTTGGTGCTGCTGATTGTAGCCCTGCTGCTAAGGCACGACTTGGCCTTGTGGTCGTGTTCCCCCTCGAATGGTATTGTATTGTTGCTGGGTTGGTCTGTACTACTGATTTTGAGGTCCCCATTGTTGTCCACCTCCTCTGACCCCCAAAATTATTGACGTAATTTATGTCTTCTCTGAAACCCTGGTTATCATTCTCTCCACTCCACGAGCAAACATATCACTGATTTATGCAGGGAGTGCATAGGCCCCCATTTGTCGTATCAACAATGTGCACCTGTTTGCTACAACTATGTCTTATAAAAAGAACTAAGCGATCGCTGCAAAAATAATCCGGTTCAAGAATCCGGAGTCGGATCCCACAAGGAACTAACCTATTTGCTATAACTTTTAGTATCGCTAATGATAAGCTCAGACAATTTTCAGAGTTCAAGATTTTATATAATAATTAACAAAAATTATTTAACTAAGGAAAAATAATAATAATAACTATTAATAAGCAAGAATGAAGTTGAATTCAAGGGTAAAAGAATCTATGGTTATTGATTTTTCCAATTGTCGGATTAATTCCTGACATGTTAGCTATAATCTCGTTGTAACGCTCTATAAAGATGATGAGTTCTTGCTTACCGAACTTATCTCTCGATCAATTATGATAATTTACTAGAAGCATTCTCTCGAACTACTCTAGTTGATAATTTGTACAACTCATAAATATCACACCAAAGCTTCGTTATCTCTAATCCCACTTTTAAATTCAAGTAACTAATCTCTTAACTTACTCGAAAGTGGCGTTGTTCAACAACAATCGAATCAAGTGTTCTTTCTCAAGCAACACTAGACAACTAGACACGATTAATCAAGGGCCCTTTCAATTAATCACAAGAAATACATAGTTGAACAATTATAGATTGAAAACGGCTCAATTATATCAAAACGTAATCAAGACTTCATCCAACAATTAGTTCCATCAACCCTAGATGACGGGTTTAGCTACTCATACTACTATGCACGGTTACAATATAAAAAGTCATAACCAACAATGGAATTAAGAAGAAGATGATGAAAAACTCGTAGGAGAATTCTCTGTCTTGCTCTTTTTGTGTTCTTGCCTCCAAAGTTCTTCTAAAAACATAGATACCCTCTTTTTGGGCGAGCTGGGCTTCATATAGGTCAAGGTTAGTCACCTCTTAAATTACAAAATTGGCCTTGGACAATTTTTCGCGGAAGCACGTGCGCGGCCGTGCATCAACAGCGCACTTTGGCCAGTTTCTGCCTGACATGCACGGCCGCCCATAGATCGCGCACCCGGAGGAATTTCTGCAGCATTTTTTTCTTTCTTCTTTTTAAGCGCGCTAACCTCCAATTGGCCTTCAATGCTCCATATTAGCTCCCAAACACTCTTTAACGTCTCATAGCCCGGAATTGCTCCTGCAAAGCATAAAGTTCTTAATTAGAGCAATTTGTTATCATTTAATATTCAAATATCAATAAAGTGTAGCTAAGTTAGAGTGCAAATAGTAGCTAAACTACATAATTATAGCCTACTATCACACTTGCACATGTGGCACAGTTTCATTGACCATTTAATTTGACTTGGCATGCCTTGTCATTTTGACATGTGTCATGATCCTACTGGCTCTTCTATTTGACTTGGCATGCCCCATCGTTTGACACGTGGCACCAAATTGGGCCTCTAGAAAGATGACATCTTGGGCTTAGTAAAGTAGGCTCATCACTTGAAGCCCAATTAAATGGGCTATTTGGATTTATTTATTTAATCCATATATATTGGACTATTAATTTAATATAGACTTCTGCCAATATTTTACGAATTTAAGAATCAAGTCCAAATTTTGTATGGACTAAATTCAATAAAATTCATGTGTCTACAAATGCCCCTACTTCAAGTTTTGTCGAGTTGTAAATTTGATTTAACTATAAAGACTAGGCTTGAAGTACCCATAAATACATTAATCTTGGACCATTGGGCGAAGAACTTCCGCACTTGAATAGTTGCATCTTCGCAAAGAAGCTCGTTACCGAAGCCAAAAAGTAACACACTTGACTTTTTCCCCAAATAGGATTATGTCCTATCCCTATTAAAATTGAACAATATGAGACAACTTTATTCGCACTTGGACTTTAGCATCAGGTAAGTAATCCTCACATATGATAACCAACAAATTTCTCTAGGAGTCTTGTCTCTCGAAGTTTAATTAAAATTGGACACCTCAATCCAACTCTAACTCAAATGTGATTCAACATACTTCTCCGGCTTCTAAACTCTATTTAAGCTTCAAAAAAAAATCTATATCTTGTTGTGGGCATGTCAGCATCACGAGCCATTTGCGTCGATGGAAAGTAGACTCACAGAGCTACAATTCTTATAAAGATTGCGACTGGACTCTTTCAGGATTCACTGCTGAACATCAACGAAGTTGGTCACGAGGTAAGCCGGGCTGATTTTCAGCTTTGCACTCTCTCGCTAGAAAATTCATATCTCAAGGTAGGAGCCTAAGAACAATGATCCCCTTGATTCTGTAGAAACACGACTTCAAGGGGCACGACATATCTGGAAACCAGAGATAAAAACCTTCTGGATATAGCAAAATCATTTTTTTAAAGTTGACATTGAATATGTCCAGTTTGATTTTTAGGTTGTGCGCCTTTGCAAGAAAATTCGTATCTCAAAATAGACGAGTTCGAATCCCATGCATCTTAATTCCGTAGAACCTAGACTCAATGAGCAATGACATATCCAAAAATTGGAAGCATTCTCTTCGCGGACTGTCTAGAATCAGATTTTGATGTTGATGCGACAATCTGCACGCTACAATTTCGAACGACATGCTCCATGATCCCCTTTATTCTTGTTGTTTTTTTGTAGGTATTGAGATTGTGGAGAGAAGCAACATCCCTCTATAAAGAAGGATCATGTGAAGATCGTCCATCAGTGATCGGCAAGGATCAGCTACTCGGGCATTCTCCCGCAACATCAACGAGAAACCACTAGGTGTGCCCCTTTTGAAGTATTGCAGCTTGTCGCTTGCAAACAATCAGTTGAAGCATCCACTTATCAGGTCGAGGCTTCAGTGAACAAGCACTTAGCGCATCCACCTTTCCGATCGAGGCTTTGTTGGACAGCCACTTGGATTTTGTTTTTCTTTGATCAGGCCACGACTTTGGCTAAAGAGACTATGAGCACCCCTTCCTTTCGGCACCGAGCAAGTACATGGAGCATCCCTCACCTTTGCAACTTTAGCAAGAGAGACTTGGAGTACTCCTTCATTACGACGACGAGGAAGTACATGGAGACCCCTTTTATTGCAACTTTGTGAAAGCAGCACATGACGCACCATATTCTTGCAGCTTGGCGAGGATGCTCATAACAAGTTTTTTTTTGTCTCAACTTTGGCAAAGAAGTACATGAAACATCCACTCCTTGCAGCTTGGTGAGAAAAGCACATGAATTATCCCCTTCTTTCAACTCTTGGCATCATAAAGGATGTTCTCTCATCAATTCTAGGAATACATGGCATTTTGTTATTCTCACAGCATTTTTGTGGAGAGGCACATTGAGCACCTCATATCTCAATCAATTTGTTGTGGAGCAAACGCCTCTTTTTTTCTTTTTTCATTTTTTGCAGCTTTAGCTAGTGGCAACTAGTGGAGTTCTCATCCTTTTGTGTGGCTTGGAGAAAGAAGCGCATGGAGTATTATATTTTTGTAGTTTTATGAAGACGCACACGACAAGTTCTCCATTCCAGCTTTGGAGAAGAAGTAGATGAAGCATCATATCCTTGCGTGTTGGCCAAATTAAGAAGTACACGAAGCATCCCCTGCTTGCATCTTGACAAACACTTGGACATTCCTTACGCAACCGTGGTGAACAAGAACGTGGAGCATCTCTTTTTTCAAGCTTTGGCGTGAGATAGCCCCTTATTGCAACTTGACCAGGAAGTTCATGAAGCATCACATCGTTCAAAATTTGGCTTGAAACAACCCTCACTTGTAACTTGGCAAAACTTAGTTGATGTCGATACTTTTCATGTTTTTGGACGAAATATTGATGTCTTAAACCAAAAGGCGTTCAAACTTCAAAATACTTGTTCATATAGAATAAGAACTCCAATATTTAGAACACATAACAATTTATGCGCGAAATTTCTTCGGGATTGGCTGAAATTAATTCTTTGAATCTGATAGAAAAGTCAGCTGGTGTGTCGACCTCAAAGCTAGCATTGTGCGCTCTCACTAAAAAATTCACATCTTTAATTAGGAGTGTCTGAACAGTGAGACGTTTGTGCCATTCGAAAGTAGACTCGAAGACCTGCAATATATACAAATTTCACGATGAAAATCCTTATAGATTTGTTGCAGTAATATTTTGAAGTTTGTCGAGATATCTGTCATGCTTAATTTTCAGCTTTGCACAGTCTTGCCGAAAAAAATCATATCTTGAGCTAGGAGCAAATAAATCACAAATGGTTTATATTTTTAAAAACTAGACATCCGTAGCTTCAATATATTCAAATTTCAGAGCAGAACTCTTTCTAGATAGACTGGTGCAATTTTTCAAAGTTGGTCCAGACGTCTTCCCAGCTAGCTTTCCAGTTTTGCCCAACTTCGCTGCAAAATTCATAACTCGAGATAGGAGCGTCCGAATCACGAGCCGTTTGCGGCGTTGGAAAGAAGACTTTATATGTTGTTTTTTTGCAGCTTTGGCGGAGACGTCCATGGAGAGTTCTCCATTACAAATCAGATGAAGAAGTATATGATCACCACCCACTTCTTGGAGGCGAAAAGGTATACGGAACATCCCATCAATCGAGACTTGGCTTGGACGACCTTTTCTTGCAACTTGGTGAAGTTCACGGAGCATCCCAACCTTCAAGTTATGGTGTGGCACTGTTATAAATCTGGATTGCTATAATAAATAATTAAACCATTAAACT